CACCCCCTCCTCCCACCCCCCGGGGCTCCCTTCCGCCATTCCGTGTAGTGTGCACCGCCTCTCCTCCCTTCCTACCCTCTTCCGTGGGCCTCTCGTCTGTGCTTGGCTCCAGATAATCCGTTCTGCTAAGTCTTCTGGTGGTTTTCTGGGTTATTTAGGCAGGTGTAGGTGGAATCTAAGTGATCAGCAGGACCTGGTGGGCCCAGCGTCCTCTTACGCCGTCATCTTCCCTCAATCCTAGATTGGATGGCTTTTAAAGGTCCTTGTAACTCTCTGCCTTCAAGCTTTGGTCAGCAGTCCCAGCTTCTTTTCTCTTAGACTTAGAGTTATAAATCTAGTTCTAACTCTAACTTTGGCATATAGTAGGTGCTCAAGAAACATTGGTTCAGTAAATGACTTTGCAGAAAGTCTTCATGGTGTCTTCTTTTTTTCTCTTGCAGTTAAAAGAGCCAAATTCCAGGGTTCACCAGGTAAGGCCAGCCTTTAATTATTATGTCTTTTCCTTTCATACTTTGTCTCATTTAAAAACGATCTTTTAAACAATCATTAATTTCATTTAATTCATTGATTAGATTAAGAAAATAATTTAAATTATTAACAATCAATATGGAGAGATATTGGTCAGGGGGTGTAAAGTTTCAGTTATGCAAGATGAATAATTTCTGGAGATTTAATGTACAATATCAGTGTGTTCATAATTAACGAGTGCTATATACTTGAAATTTGCTAAGAGGATAGATCCCAAGTTGTTATTGATCATATACACATACACATTTGAAAATTGTGATTATGTGAGATGTGATGAATATATTAATCGGCTTGATTATGATGATTATTTCACAATGTATATGTATATCAAATCATCAAGTTGTACACCTTAAATACATACAATTTTAAGTTGCCAATTATACCTCAGTAAAGCTGGAACAAAAATCAGTGCTGTTGTAAAACTTTAAAGAGATCTGTCTATATACCTATTTAGTGAAAACTTAGTCCCCATATCTCTTGGCCAACTCAGTTCTACTTCTCAGTAGTAATTATTTGGAGGTTTGTGTATACCTTTTCAGATTTTTTTGTGTGTATATGCATGTTTAAATAAATAGTTAACTTTGTGCAACCTTTTATTCAAACAACACATCATGAAAATAAGTTGTTTAGAATTTTGTTGTAAATTTGTACCTGAGTTTCCTGATTGATGAATATTTAGTTGTTTCCAGTTTTTGCTATTATAAGAAATACATGTTTTTGTGCATATATCAGTGTTTGCTTTTGCAAATGTATCTGTATGCTAGAGTCCAGAAGCAGAGAATTGCTAGGCTGGAGGTATGCATTTTTTAAAAATTTGGTAGCTGCTGCCAAATTTCACTTAATGAAAGTTTTGGGGAGATTATACTCAGGCCAAAAGTATATAAACGTTTATCCAAATCCTTACAAAGATTCAGTAATATGGAACTTTTTAATCTTTGCCCATTAGAAGGTGAGAATAGTATTTACAGGTTTTAATATACATTTCCTTAATTGTGAATGCTAAGTTAGAGGGACTTAATCGTGGTTGCTGCTGGGGAAAAGGGAAGGTACTGGGGATTACTAGGAAAAAATTCATGACTGGGAACCCATGGGAATCTGAAAAGCCAAACCTTGGGTACAACAGGAACTAAAAGAGTCTCTGAGCCTACTCCAGTCTCCACTAGCTAAATCTCTTTTCTTTCTGAGAATCTGTTCTGTTTTCCTTTCTCTTCTACCTGTCTTTCTATGCTTACCTTTTTTGCACACAGCCCATAATGGTTGCTCCAGTGGAATATATATGCCTCTCCGACAACCATCAGTTGTCACTATTTCTTTGTTTTCCCTATTTAAAATCGTGTGAGAGGGAATTGGATTGTTTTCAGTTTTTTGCCAGTTCATGGATTGACTGCTTTTGAGTGGCATCTAAACCTGCTCTGATCAGCTATGATTGGATGTGGGGAGTAGAATACAGAATCATATGATAGAAAACATAGCTCAGTGGTCTACGACACTGCTACTGGATATGTATGGGAATCTCTTATGTGGGTGGGCTTGCCTCCTCATAATAAAGTATAATTCTGGTAAACTTTCCATATCTAAGTATAGAGCTATATGATTTTTTAATGATTTCATAAGGATTTAATAGTAGTCATAATTAAAATTTTTTAAATTAATGTTTATTTATTTTGAGAGAGAGGGAGAGCATGGGCATGCAAGAGGGAGTGCACAAGTGGGGAGGGGCGGAGAGAGAGGAAGAGAGGGAATCCTAAGCAGATTCTGAACTGTGAGCGCAGGGCCCAATGTGGGGCTTGATTGCATGAACTGTGAGATGATGACCTGAGCCAATTGCAAGAGTTGGACCCTCAACTGACTGAGTCACCCAGGTGTCCTAGTCATAATATTTAAAATGGCTATGATTTGGGGCGCCTGGGTGGCTCAGTCGGTTAAGCGGCCAACTTCAACTCAGGTCATGATCTCGCGGTCCCTGAGTTCGAGCCCCGCGTTGGGGCGTTGGGCTCTGTGCTGACAGCTCGGAGCCTGGAGCCTGTTTCGGATTCTGTGTCTCCCTCTCTCTCTGCCCCTCCCCTGTTCATGCTCTGTCTCTCTCTGTCTCAAAAATAAATAAATGTTAAAAAATAAAATAAAATGGCTATGATTTATTGAGCACTTGATATATCAGAGCATTGCCTAAATACTTTCATAAACGTCTTATTTAATTATCACAACGAACTTAGAACATTGTATTCTCACTTTTATTATTTAAAAAAAATTTTAAGGGGCGCCTGGGTGGCGCAGTCGGTTAAGCGTCCGACTTCAGCCAGGTCACGATCTCGCGGTCCGTGAGTTCGAGCCCCGCGTCAGGCTCTGGGCTGATGGCTCAGAGCCTGGAGCCTGTTTCCGATTCTGTGTCTCCCTCTCTCTCTGCCCCTCCCCCGTTCATGCTCTGTCTCTCTCTGTCCCAAAAATAAATAAACGTTGAAAAAAAATTAAAAAAAAAAATTTTAAGTATAGCATAACATACAAAGTTAGGTTAGTTTTATGTGTACAACATAGTGATTCTACAGGTTTATACCTGTGTTCACCACAAGTGTAGCTACCACCTGTTACTACATAACACTATCACAATACCATTGCTTATATTCCTCATGCTGTGCATTTTATTCCTGTGACTTTTGCATTCTATAACTGGAAGCCTCTATCTCCTGCTCCCCATTTTGCCCATCGCCCACCACTGTGGCAACCATCAGTTTTCTGTATTTACAGGTCTGATTCTGCTTTTTGTAAAACTACATAATTTTTATTTGTATTTATTTATTTTTAATTTTTTTAAACTACATAATTTTTAATGATGCTTAAGAGAAAGATTTACCTTGTGCTAGAAGTGCATGGCAGGGCCTATTTTCTCACACCCCTTACATTAGTTAATCATTTTAAACAATGTTTGCCAATTTGATGAGCCAAAAATGATTGTCTTTTTTCATTTTATGTTATGATTAATTTCTTACATAGAAAAGTGAACTCTTAATTCAGTGCCTCTAATCATGGTTTATGCTAAAGTGGTACAGGACTAGTGCTGTCTTAGGCACTAGTACTCAATTTGTATTCTCAGGTTAGAGAATCTCCTTTTCCCAACTCTGCAGTAGTGTTGCTTTTTGTGTAAGTCGTGCTTTAGGCCAACCTGAATAAATTAAGCTGGGAATCCATTTCCTTTAGGAGGATTTTTTGCTCAATTCTTGTTCTGTCAACAGCAAGAGATAACCCTTCCTCTTCAATCCTTTACCACTTTTTCTTTTATGGTACTTACTTCTTCATTTTACTATATTTACATATCTTTTCTACTAGATCGATTATATTTGTTTTTTTTCAAACTAAAGATGGGCTGTAATATCAATTTTGTTGGTTATGATGAATGTTTCAAAGGTTTAAATAAATTAGAACAGGATATATTAATGTATCCCAACTTGTATTGTATAAAGCTTTCATTTTCATTATGTATGTGTGTGTGTCTACAGGATCAAATATGTATTTCTGAAATTTGAAAAACTATTACAGTTTATACTTTTGAGAAGAGAGAATTAATGTTTTATAATTTTTTGCAGTTCTGTGGGCTTAGAATGATGCTGTATTGTACAATATATAGTTTTATTTTTGCTTCAATTTCTAATACTTTAATTTGGATTACTCAGTTTCAAAGGGTTTGTGAGCTTGGGTAACAAATCTGAGCACTAAGTATTACATCTTCATCTTGGTTTTTTTTTTTTTTTTTTTTTTTTTTTTTTGCATTTTTTTTAAAGATAAATTTAACACCTATGTGACCCTGAAAGTGCAGAATGTGAAGAGCACAACTGTAGCAGTTCGTGGTGATCAACCTTCTTGGGAACAAGATTTTATGTTGTAAGTACTTCAGAGTGGCAGCAGCATGCCTTATGAAAACTACAGAGTTAAACAGGAATAAGTGAGGTGTGTGGTGGGTGAAGTATATCTGCAGTTTTGTTCTCTCCTGGATTTGTTGTGTTTTTCTTTTAAATTTGTTTTAATCTATTATTTTTTTACAAAGAGGGTCTTTTTTTTTTTTTTTTTTTTTTTTTTTTTTAGTTAACATACAGTGCACTAGTGGTTGCAGGAGTAGAATTCACTAATTCATCACTTACATACAGTACTCGATGCTCACCATAACAAGTGCCCTCCTTAGTACCCATCTAGCCTGCCTCCACCCACCTCCTTCCATCAACCTTTAGTTTGTTCTCTATTGCTAAGTGTCTCTTGTAATTTGTTTCCCTCTCTTTTTCTTCCTCTGCTTCCCCTATGTTCATCTGTTTTGTTTTTTTAAATTCCACATATGATTGAAATCATATGGTATTTGTCTCTCTCTGATTGACTTATTTTGCTTAGCAAAATACATTCAAGTTCCATCCACATCATTGCAAATGAAAAGACTTCATTGTTTTTGATGGCTGAGTAATATTCCATTGTGTGTGTGTGTGTGTGTGTGTGTGTGTGTGCGTGCGCGTGCGCACGCGTGCTCATGCATATATCCAGTGAAGAAATGGGAAGATATGAATAGATATTTTTCCAAAGAAGACATCCACATGGCAAACAGACACATGAAAAGATGGTCAACATCACTCATCATCAGTGAGTGATGCATGAGTGCATATTCACATGTGCAGGCACATGCGCGCGCACACACACACACACACACACACACACTACATCATCTTTATCCATCATCATTCAGTAGACATTGTGGTTCTCTCCACAGTTTGACTATTGTTGATAATGCTGCTATAAGCATTGGGGTGGGCATGTACCCCTTCAAATCTATATTTCTATATCCTTTGGGTAAATACCTAGTAGTACAGTTGCTGGATCATAGGTATTCCTATTTTTAGTTTCTTGAGGAACCTCCGTACTGTTTTCCAGAGTGACTGCACCAGTTTGCATTCCCACCAGCAATGCGAGAGGGTTTCCCTTTCTCCACATCCTTGCCAACACCTGTTGTTGTCTGAGTTGTTAATTTTAGCCACTCTGACTGGTGTGAGGTGGTATCTCAATGTGTTTTTGATTTGTATTCCCTGATGATAAGTGATGTTGAGCATCTTTTCATGTGTTGGTTGGCCATCTGAATGTCTTCTTTGGAAAAATGTCTATTCATATCTAATGCCCATTTCTCCACTGGATTATTTCTTAACTGGGTGTTGAGTTTGACAAGTTCTTTATAAATTTTGGATACTAACCCTTTATCCCATATGTCATTTGCAAACATCTTTTCCCATTCTGTAGGCTGACTTTTAGTTGTGTTGATTGTTTCCTTTGCTGTGTGGAAGCTTTTTATCTTGATGAAGTCCTAATAGTTCATGTTTGCGTTTGTTTTCCTTACCTCTGGTGACATGTCTAATAAGAGGTTGCTGCTGTGTTCTCCTCTAGATGTTGATTGTTTCCTGTCTTACATTTAGGTCTTTCATCCATTTTGAGTTTATTTTTGTGTATTTTTGCATGTGGCCATGCAGTTTTTCCAGCACCACTTGTTGTAGAGACTGTCTTTTTTCCATTAGATATTCTTTCCTGCTTTGCCAAAGATGAGTAGACCATATAGTTCTGGGTCCATTTGTGGGTTTTCTGTTCTGTTCCATTGATTGATGTGTCTGTTTTTGTGCCACTACCATCCTGTCTTGACGACAACAGCTTTGTAATATGGCTTGAAATCTGGAATCATTATGCCTTCAGTTTTGTGTTTCTTTTTTTCAGGATTGCTTTGGCTATCTGGGATCTTTTGTGGTTCCATACAAATTTTAGGATTATGTGATCTAGCTCTGTGAAGAATGATGGTGGTATTTTTTTAATGTTTATTTATTTGAGAGAGAGAGAATGGGAGTGAGTGGGGGAGGGGCAGAGAGCGAGGGGATAGGATCTGAAGCTGGCTCTGTGCTAACAGCAGAGAACCCAATGTGGGTCTCGAACTCACAAACTGTGAGATCATGACCTGAACTGAAGACAGACACTGAACCCACTGAGCCACCTAGGCGTCCCTGCTGTTGGTATTTTGATGAGGATTGCATTAAATATGTAGATTGCTTTGGGTAGTATAGATATTTTAACAATGTTTGTTTTTCTTTTTTTTTTTTTTAAATTTTTTTTTTTTTTTTTTCAACGTTTATTTATTTTTGGGACAGAGAGAGACAGAGCATGAACAGGGGAGGGGCAGAGAGAGAGGGAGACACAGAATCGGAAACAGGCTCCAGGCTCTGAGCCATCAGCCCAGAGCCCGACGCGGGGCTCGAACTCACAGACCGCGAGATCGTGACCTGGCTGAAGTCGGACGCTTAACCGACTGCGCCACCCAGGCGCCCCAACAATGTTTGTTTTTCTAATCCATGAGCATGGAATGTTTCCCAATTCTTTGTATCTTCTTCAATATCTTTAATAAGTCTTCTATAGTTTTCAGAGTACAGATCTTTTACCTCTTTAGTTAAATTTATTCCTGGGTATCTTACTGTTTTTGCTGCACTTGTATATGGGATCGATTGCTTAATTTCTTTCTCTGCTGCTTTGTTATTAGTGTACAGAAATGCAGCAGATTTCTCCAAGTTGATTTTATATCCTGCAATTTGCTGAACTCATGTATTAGTTCTAGCCTTTTTTTTTGGTGGTGTCTTTGAAGTTTTCTACATAAACTATCATGTTGTCAGCAAATAGTGAAAGTTTGATTTCTTCCTTGCTGATTTGGATGCTCTTTATTTCTTTTTGTTGTCTGATTACTGCGGCTTAGGCTTCTAGTACTATGTTAAATAGTAATGGTGAGAGTGGGCATCCTTGTCTTGTTCCTCACCATAGGGGAAAGGCTCTCAGTTTTTCCCCATTAATGATGATATTAGCTATGGGGCTTTT